GATAACTCTGTAAGTTCAAAGAACTCCATGCATTACGACACCTCGATATATTTCGTTAAGTCTATAAATAATGATAATTCAATAAATATCGATAACTTGATACATTTCTTTAACTTGACAAATTTCGTTAATCCACACCTTTTTAATAGCTCGATAACTATCCGTAAATTTGGACAACTAAGTTTCTGTGTCTATAAATTTCGACAACTCAGTAAACATTGATCAGTTTGAATAATTCGATACGTTGCGATAACTTAATAAGCATGGATAAATTTCGATAATTATAAACTTCGATTATTCGATAAATTTCAGTAACCTTTATGGCTGATTTTGTTTCGATGCCTATCTTTTAACCTAATTCTTATGTATTTCTCACAGTCTCCATTTTCGCCTTTATCTCAATTTTCGTCTTTATCTTCACTTTTGCCTTTTTTTGTCTTCATCGTTATCACTTGTTCCTTCATCTTCATATCTGTCTTAATTTAGTTTAGTTTAATTTCAAATACGAAGTAAAACAAAATGCGAAACGCTTGAATTGAACAGGTTGCTAAAACAACCGATAACAAATATGGAAATTTTTAAACGACGATTTTCAACCAATTTCGAAACTATAAAAACTCTCCTCATCTACAGAAAATTACTTTCCAACGGTGTTTCTGGTTTTGAAATCGGTAACTTTACCTTGGTCTTCATCTTTGTTTTTATCTTTCACATCTTTGCTTACATCCTTTTCTTTTTCTATTCACGTAGATGAGATGAGGTGCGATGTCGTGATAAGATGTGACGTGATTTTATGTGATGTGATAGGATGTCATGTCATGTGTTGTCATATCCTCTGATGTCATGTCATATGATGTCATACCATATGATGTCATATCATGTGATGCCACGTCATGTAATGCCATGTCATGTCATACGATGTCATATCATGTGATGTCGTCATGTGATGTCATATCATATAATGTCATGTCACATGATATCGTGTGATGTGATATCATATTATGTGATGCAAAATCATGTGATGTCTCTTCATATCATGTGATAAAATGTGATGTGATGTCATGTTATGTGATCACATTCCATGTTCCGATTAGTGTATCGATAACTCTGTTGATAACTGTGTTGATAAAAATACCGATAACAATATCCATACACATATAGAAAAATACAACGATTGTAAAATCGATTAATTCAGCGATAAATATAACAATAATCAGTATCAGTATCATAACAATATATGTAAATGACTAAATCGATAACAAAATCAATTACTTAAACGATTCTTATACCGATAACAATATCCATTATTGTATCGATAACAATATCGATTACTATATTGATTATTATATCGATTACAATAGCGGTTATTTAATCAATAACAGTATCGATAACAATATCGATTATTTTATCGATAGCAATATCGATTATTATATCGATAAAAATATCGAGTTTTATATCGATAACAATATCGAGTTTTATATCGAAAAAATATCGATCTTCATCCTCATCCTTTTCTTCATATTTATCTTTATTTCTGCATATTCCTCTTCACCTTTACCTTAATGTGTTTAAATTTACCTTGATCTTCGTTTTTGCCTGTATCTCTAGGCATCTTTGTTTTTGTTTTTATTTTCAAACCGCTAAACCACTGAGAAGCATTTCCATGTGCATTCCCAGCAAAAAACACGATTACCACAGAAACGAAAGTGGAAACGAGCTAGGCGATGGGAATCGCTTACCGTTTCGCTTCAAGAAGGCCTTATTTTAACATGGGCATGTCATTGGAGGTAAGCCCTTACCCGCAGCATTACCTTCAAACGAAGGTAGAACGCATGGATAAACAGAATCCAGAGAAGCGAACAAAGAATGCCTTACAGAGAAACTAATGTAGAATGCCTAGATAAGTACATACTTATCTATATTAAATTGAAATCAGAAAATGTCTTAAAAGGTTCAAATTAATTAAAATTTTTATAAATCAGCGTACATATGTATGTATTTAAGTATTTAGATTTTCTTTAAAATCTGTATGTACATACATGCATATTTAATTAAGCTTAAAATTGTACTTCCTCACTCTTGTACGTCACTTCATTGACTGACTTCAACTTCGCTGCAAATTGAACAAAGCAAAACATGATTTTTATGCGAGACAAATTTCCACAGAAAGTAACGGTAGAAAAAGAATTTTTGGATATTCATTCCATTTTTCAGCTGACTACGATGCAGCATTCTACTTTGCATTCCCCGAAATGAAGCAAAGAAACGAAACAAATAAAATATTGTAGGACATTCTACTTTGCATTCCCCGAAATGAAGCAAAGAAGCGAAACGAATAAAATATTGTAGGACATTCTACTTTGCATTACCTGAAATGACGCAAAGAAGCGAAACAAATAAAATATTGTAGGACATTCTACTTTGCATTCCCGGAAATTAAGCAAAGAAACGAATTAAAAAATAAATATTATAGGACATTCTACTTTGCATTCCCCGAAATGAAACGAAGAAGCGAGATAAATAAAATATTGTAGGACATTCTACTTTGCATTACTGGCAATGCCTAAAAGAAGCGAAAAAAATTCGAAGGCATTATAACGCTATGCTTTCTAGAACACGTTACCACTAAAAGCGATTACCCATTTTTTGCTGGGTTATTCCCCTGGAATTTGACTTTTAATCCCAACCAACATACTGCCTAAAGAAGTTTCACGTCATAAATTCAAGAAATGTTCTTACCCGTTCAGTTACCCTAATTCTTATTTATCCGTCAATGTCTCTATTTTCGTCTTTATCTTCACGTTTTTTTTTCTTTTTTTTTGACTTCATCGTTATCATTTATTTCTTCATCTTCATATTTATCTTTATTTCAAAGCTTAATTTCAAATGCGAAGTGAAACAATATGCGAAACATCTCAAATTGAACATGTTGCAGCAACATCTATACACAAATCGGAAATGTTTAAACGACGGTTTAGGCCGTAATTTTCAACCAATTTGGAAAGCATAAAAAGCCTTTTCAATGGTGTTTTTGGTTTTGAAATCGGTTCGGTAGAATCGCGAAACGAACGGAGACATAATTTATTTTAGCGTATTAATATATAGATTTTTTTTCTTGTAGATATTTGGTTAGGTGCTCGGTTTCGAAAATGCTAAATTACGTTCTGCTAAGAACGAACATACCAGTATTTCAGCCTTTTTTGCGTTCATAACATTTTCAATGAAGCCTTAAAAAAGTCGCCTACTTTTTTCTGACTTATTATGCTACTACTGTTTTTTTTGGTCCTTTTGCGAGCGTGCGTGTTGCAATACATCACTTGTGTCCAAAGAATATATATGTTTTGAAGAAGCTGCTGCAAAAAAAACAAAGCTTGTAAAGATTTATTAAGAAAATAATTCAAAATCAGTTCTACTTACAAGATTTAGTAACAGAGAAAAATTACTGAGAAGTTAAAAAACGTAATTTTTAACACAAAAAACGTCCTAAAGTCAACAGGATACAAAAAACGTCCAAATGACGTTAAAAACGTCAGCCTGGCAACGCTGGCTGTAGCAAACCGTATGTATTCGTTAATGAGTAACGAATACAACCCCTGACTCGAAGTACCGAATCGTTACTCACATAATAATCTCTTTACTCGCATGTTCCGTATATGCACCATCAACCTCAATCAATACAACACAACATATTGTGCGGTAACGAAACTGTTTTTCGTATCGATACTGAAGTGTGTTCGTGTGAGTGCAAGCAGGGATGGAATTTCAAAATTTCAAAATGTGCCTAAAGGTCTTCAAAAATTGTGTCGAAAAGAATATGAAAGTGCCACAAAATTAAATTTCTTTTATACTAATAATTTCTTAGTATAAAAATTATTAATTAACTAAATTATTACAGTAAATCACTTTTATGAGTGATTCTTTATAAGCGGCATACACGGTGCGTCTGAATCGCGAGTCGGTGTGGTTGTGTTAAGTAAAAATAAATATGTGTTAGTTACACCGACATGACTCTGGTATGACTCAACTGTGTGTAGTCGAAAGGCGAGTGAACACGTACAGAGTTGACTTGCAAGTCAGACGAACCGTCATAAATTCATAGTAAACCGAATTCCAATTACGGAAGTGAAATACACCGAAGTACAGCTATTCTGACATTCTTACACTCATATGTATGTACCTATATGCGAAGTAAGGGCAGTAAGATATTTTGACCAGTTTCGCCTATTATTTTCAATGATTATTTTTTAATTGATTTTAAATAAAAGTCTAATTCATAATTTAATAAACACAATAAATGTACACAAATCGGCATTTCAAACTTTGTACAAAAATTATAAAACTCGACAGGTTTTCGCAACAAAATACTTTGAATTGAGAATTTTTAGGGGGATTCCAAGTTTTCGATGTTATGAATTTTTTCCATATAAAGTGTGCTCGAAATTTTTTTAAGTGGATCAAAATGAATGACACCGTCAGAAAAAAATATGAAATATCATCGGGATATTGCAGAAACTGGCACTCTCATTTAATAAACTATAAAACTGCGAACTTAGAATCTTTCCAGAAGTTCTGAATTAAAAGCTTGTTGTGGCGAAAACTTACTTTTCGTACTGCATATTCACAACAGAATCCAGCGGTTTGCAAATAATTCTCACAGCCCTTATTTTAATTTGTAAGTTCTTTTAATTTTCACTTTGTGTAATTTTTTAATCTATAATGTGGTATGTAATTTCTTGTTATACAGGGTGTCCCAGAGGTAACCTGCCAAACTTATGGAGAAGGTAGGTGGGGGGATGAGCTCCCTGATAAACAAAAAGGTTTCAGGTAAAAGTGTCACCGTTTTTGAAATATTTAAATTTTTTTTAATTAAAAAAAATCGCGCCTTTTCATGCATTTTCTTTAACTGCATCTACAAACAAGCCTATACTTAGTAAATTTTTAATGTAAAATACTTCCAGATAGTTGCTTCTCCATATTTGTTGGGTAAATGAAAACGATGATTTTGATTTGGTATTAGGTGAATAAAACTTTAATTATAACCCGATTAATTTTACATAGTTGCTTGGTTGTTTTATAATTGTGTTGACTGGCACGTCTGCAAAACTAATACAAAAATGTTTTCCCTAACTTCAGGCTTTATATTCTAAAACGAGTAACGGCGAGGTATATAAGAGTCCCGTTCAGCTTGTGCTATGTATTTTAAAGTAGTAAACAAATACAGTGAATAGACAAAACGATAAATAAAGGAGTACATACATACATAAATAAATGAAACAAGCAATGAAATGCCACAGGGCGACCTAACAATATTCGAATGCAATGTGGTAAAAATATATTAAGGAACCATTATAAAATGAGGACTATTTTGGGATTTTTAACTTTTTGTTATTTTTTTTCCCCAAATTTGACTATCTCTGGTGAAAAAAAAGTACTAAGCCATAACCTTACATTACGAAAAAAAATTGCTCATTTAATAAATATTTCAGAAATGTGCCACTCTTACTATTTCGAATAGAAGAAAAAAGGTTATAGCTGCTTTGGTGGGTGAAGGACTGAGACACGCTAGAAGGTATTTAATAGATTTAAATTTAAGTTGGTCTTGTTACCGACCAATGATATGCTAAATAGTACAAAGGTACATTATTACTTGCTCCTGACATTATGTTATGTTACTTACCGGAATTCGGACTAGAGTCAATAACAAGGGCTATATCTATCAATATTTTTTGTAAAGGATGGTTCACGTGAAATAAAATATACATGAGTTGTTTGAAGAAAAATTTATTCATTTCTTGATAAAATATGCTCAAATTGGCGACCTTCTACTCTAATACAAGCTCGGCACCTTTTAAGAAAATACGCTTTTAGAGGTCCTAAACTCAATTGGGCTATATAAGCAGCAGCGCCATTTATTTGTTCCCGAAAATGCTCTTCGTTTTGAATTATTTTTGAATAAATTTTGTCCTTAAGACAGCCCCAGTAGCAAAAATCGAATGGATTCAGGTCTGGCGTTCGAGCGGGCCACGTGATTGGCCCGTATCGTCCAATCCATCGGCGAGGATAAGTTTCGTCTAAATGAGCTCTTACTTCACGCCCGTAGTGAGCAGGACACCCGTCATTTTGCAGCCATAGTCTTCGCCGCAGGTTTAGGGGTACATCTTCTAAAAGAGTTGGAAGCCGTTCCTGAAGGAACTTTAAATAACTGTGGGAGTTGAGCGTTGGCGGCAGTTCCACAGATCCCAATATCCGACAATTAAAAATACCGCACCATATATTTATTTTCTACCGGTACTGTGAACGGTCTTATCTCATTTCGTGAGGATTGTCTATCTGCCCACTGTGAAGGTTATGTAAATTAAAATAACCATAACGTTTGCATGATGATTCATCGCTCCAAATTATTTTATTAAGAAAGTTGGAGCCTGAATAATGCATTCGCAACATTTCACGGCAAAATTTAACCTTCGACAGGTAATCTCTTTCTTGTAGAGTCTGAACACGTTGAATGTGGTAGGGATGGTATTTTAAAGCTTTGTGAACTGTAGTTTTTGGTATTCCAGTCCGTCTTTCCATCACTCTCACTGAAATCGATGGAGCTAGTTCCAATTCCTCTAACACAACTTTTACATCTACCGTTGCAGGACGTCCTGTCTCGCCGCCACGCCTTCCAGGTATGCGACCTTAAAAAAGTTAAAAATGATAATTAAAAGAAGAATGGCTTCAAACAAGAAAGGTGTAAAAATTATTTACCTTCAGAAATTTCTCTATGGGTGCGGGGGAATACTTCACGACCCGGATGCCGACGATTTGGGTATCGCTCTGCATAGAGTCTTTGAGCAGCTCTGGCCTTACAGCAAGCGTCACCGTAAATTAGGTGAATATCCGCATATTCATGCGACGTATACTGCGTGTTCTCTGTCATAGTATTAATAACACAATGTTCGAAGGGTCCAATTTCACAAAATCCACTTTCATTATTTCCGGTAAGTAACACAAAATAATGTCAGGAGCTAGTAATAATGTACCTTTATACTATTTAGCATGTCATTGGTCGGTAACAGGACCAAATTAAATTTAAATCTATTAAATACATTCTAGCGTGTCTCAGTCCTTTACCCACAAAAGCGGCTATATTTTTTTTTGTTTTCTATTCGAAATAGTAAGAGTGGCACCTTTCTGAAATCTTTATTAAATGACCAATTTTTTTTATGCAATGTAAAGTTATAGCTCAGTACATCTTTTTTCACCAGAGATAGTCAAAGCTGGGGAAGAAAATATCAAAAAGTTAAAAATCGCAATATGGTCCTAATTTTATAATGGTTCCTTAATGTATTTTAACTACATTGCATTTGAGTATGGAGAAGCAACTATCTGAAAGTATTTTAATAAAAAATTTACTAAGTATAGGCTTGTTTGTAGATGCAGTTAAGGAAAATACATGAAAAGGCACGATTTTTCTTTAACTCAAAAAAATTTAAATATTTCAAAAAACGGTGACACTTTTACCTGAAAAATGTTTGCTTGTCAGGGAGCTCACCACCCCACCTGCCTTCTCCTCAAGTTTGGCAGGTTACTTCTGGGACACCCAGTGTATTGGCATTTTATGCTAAACTTCTATATTTTATGATAGTGCCAAAACATGATTAATTGTACCAAAAGTGCCTCTAAGAATTTAAGGGCCAAAAATGGACTATTGTGCCTACTTTTCCATCACTGGGTAGAAGTGCTTGATTATATCAAATTGTTCGAATCGATACAAAAAAAGTTGCGTGTATACATTTGTATATATGTTCATATGAACGAACGAACATTTCTTTACGCTACAAGATTCGTTTCGTTACTCACATAATAGTCTCGTTACTCGCATGCAGTGTGACCAGGTTATCCTTTTCGAAGCTAGATTTAGCATTTTATTTTATGTCATAGCCTCAGAAATTTAAATCTGACTTCGTGGCTTTTTTTTGGCATTTTTTTTTATTTAAATCTTCATAATAAAATTCGAACCGGAACTATAAAAATAAGTACCTTAGCTTGCTAAAAAGCTTCAATATTTCTAAACCAGTATTCACCGTTGAAATATTACAATAAAAGGACAAAGTTCCTTGAGAAAATACTGTCTCCGCTTTTTAAAAAACAATACTAAGAATTTTGCTTTAAAACGTATTTTTGCAATTTAATTTTTGGCGTAGTACTTGTGTACTATGATGTAGAAAATATTCAAATTTTTGCATTTTACTTATCCTAAACGACTTTTGGTATATTTTTAAGTTATGAGCCGTTATTGGCCTGATACAGGCTATTCTGTGTTTTGACGAGAATTATTTAAGATTTGCGGACCGTATCGAGAAATAATGGACAAAGCAATAAACAGAGATGAATTCGATATGATAATCAAAACTATGAACTAAAACGTAATCGCGAACATCCAGCAAATGGTTACGCAGCTGAAGAAGAAGAGAATCGAGTTTCTAAGGAATTAACATACTGACTTCTTTTTAACTTCAATCTTCATAGCGTATAACTTTTTCTAACCTTTTTTAAAATGGAATTTAGCTTCGCTTTTTGCGATCATGTGGTCACACTGCTCGTATGTTCCGTATGTATATGTACCATCAACGAGAATCAATACATTATTTAGAACGTTCCTGATGATATGTTGACGTATATTTCAAACGCATTATGTTTATTCCGGCTGTGAAATGGGATTATCCGGAATGTATAAAGAAACGCGGCCTGTATCAAATTGTTCGAATCGATATGCTTGAAACACAATACCCGGCTAATTCGCTTACTGAAACACAATACCCGGCTAATTCGCTTACTGAAACACAAATAGAGCGGTATCGAGCGGTTCGAATGCTGTCAGCTGATAAGGTGACCATGTTTCAAGACGGAAGCTTTTACAACGAAGAGGGAAATTACCGGCAAGAAGAAGTTTAAAATATAGAAATAGTCTTTAAATATAACTACTAGTAAACTTACGTTTTACTAGATTAATCTCTGATAGAAAAATGTAAGGTATATTATTTTACTTTTAAACAAAAATTACGATAACTTTTAAAGTATGGTCATCATGGCCTTTTTTTGTCGTTGCCGTTGACCGCGGCGATAGAAATAAATCTATCGTCGCGAACAGTCGTCGAGCAAACTTCGTCGATTGCTTTGGTTGTGCGCGTTCTCATATAAATCAGTAGGGGTATTCTCGAAGTCTTGCACGATGCACGGATTGCACGAAATGCAAAAATACTATTCCAAATTTCGAAGAGTACGAGAACACCCCATTGCAAAGTGGTAGCATGCATGGGGAGCAAGCAGCGAAATTATGTATCAAATACAATAACAAGAGACAGCAAAAAAAAAATTAAGTGAGCGAGATGAGAGGAATGAGAGAAATATGTAGCAATTCCAACAACAAAACAACTAGCACAGGGTCGCTATTATCTTGCTATGCTATTTTGCAAAATATATACATGGGTTTCGACGTTGCATATTTTGCAGCGATAGGAAATGTTGTTTCCCATGAATTTTCTTGTTGTGTGTTTGCAATTTATGCAATCCGTGCAATCCGTGCTACGTGCAATGGCTTTGCAAGATTTGGAGAATACCCCTAGTGTGTTTTAATTATTTCGGCGAACATTCGCGACGAAAAATTTGCCGTTCGGCGGGGTTGTGCTTCAGCTTTTACGCTGCAAGTTTTGCCGCGATGATTCTTGTGAGGTGCAAGTGCTTGTATCAAAAGTAACGAGTAAAGTAACGATACATACGGGTATCCGAAATTTCGTTACTTTTACAGCTCTACTGAACGCTGACAATGCAAAAGTGAATTACAAAACAGCTAATATGCGCGCAAGCAAGTCGTTACTCACCACCAGTGTTGCCATTTTTCTTTCTGCCGTCCCGCCAGATTAATAAACAAAAATCGCTAGAATCCTGCTAAATCATTTAAATTCTGTAAACTCTTATGAAAAAAAGTTTATTTTATAATTTAGCAGTTAAACTTTATTTGATAAAATTAGAGATCATATGTTTATAAAAAACCATCAGTTGTACATACATATGTGTATAAATGCATTGTTTCAAATAAAATATATATCTTGAATGAATTAAAGTGAAAATTTCTATAAAAGTTTAAAATCGTTATTAGTGCGTTACTATTTATTTTGGTTTTTGATAAATACAAGAATACTTATATCTTGGACTGATCACTAATGTAGTATAGAAGCTTATTAAATTTTACCGAAAAAAAATTTTGATGTTTTGATTTGTCCCAAGTTTTGGTTATTTTAGGAAAGTTGGCAGCCATGGGG